ACTAAAACTTTGCATATATATGATGTTGAACGAAATTATGGTATAACCGCGGGGGTGATTCTGCGTGTAAAAATAAATTGAAAAAAAGTACAAAATTTTTCCGTATAATGTTCAGTTTCGAGAATATCGGATTTATTAAGTTCATAAATATTTAAATGTATTTAATTTATTAATTTAGTTAATTCTAGATAGAAAAGAATAGTTAATAAGTATTCTATGTGCAAAAATAAGTGAATGATTTGGAATAAAATGTTTTCATTGACATTTCCATTTTTAAAAAAATGAATTACCTCGATACACATGTATTTGATAAATTTTCGAACTCTATGTTCTCGAAAACAAAGCATCTTACAAAAGAATTTTATTCTACATTCTTTACTCATTTTCGCACGTAGAATAACTTTTTGTTAATTATCTTCTTCTGTTACGTCTAGAATTAGCTAAACTGATAAATATTCAAACTCGATTTTTCTCGAAAATGGAGCATCTTACAAAAAAATTTTATTCTCTTCTGATTTTCGCAAGTAGAATAACTTCCTATTAATTATCCTTTCCTGTCACTAAATTCAAGTATACTCGATAAATATCCAAACTCAACGAAAAATCATTTGGAAAAATTTTATTCTCTTTTTTTCTTTATTCTTTATTTTTACATGTAGAATCACATCGTAGAAAGAACACCCTATATATAAGACTGTTGCAACCCTATATACACTAAGACTGTTCTCTTCTTTTTTAAAGATATAATTTATGATTATATCTTTAATTTAGATATAATCATAATTTATGATTATATCTTTTTTAAAGATATAATTTATGATTTTTTAAAGATATGATTTATTTGTTCTTTCCGATTTTTATAAAAATATTTCACTCTCCTCGTAGAATATTTACCCTCTTGATTGTAATCGCAATAATCGTAATCCGAGAAGCACGTGATTATCATCGAACTTGTGATTTTCGAATAGGAGAGGAAGATAGTTTTCTTGTTGAGGAAATACTTTCGAAACAATTTCTCTGATAATTAATTGAGTGTTTGATGTTGATCTCGGCGAGTTATACTGGCCGTAAGCAGAGTCGCGCTAGTAATTATGTCAACGTAATTGGATGATACCGTTTTGTTTTACGCTCAAGTCGTAAATTACTTTAAAGCATTAGAGGCTTTGTTCATCGCGGATCTATTGAATTTAAAATTGAAAATATAATCAGCGATGCGCGTGATTTTACGAAAAGATATTAACGGAATCATGGATGTGAAAAATATTTGCTGTGCGTGTAATACATATTTGGCATTATTTCACGTAAGTTTGCACGAAAATAAATCATTTGTTTTATATTTAGGTTATGGAAACTTGCATAATAGGGGCGCGCATGTAAATCAATGTAAATCAACGGGCGTGAATGTAATTTCGGAGATGTAATTTCTACGACATACAGTGAACCCTATTAATATTTGGACAGTAAATATTTAAACTATTATAGTTTTATAAATCGTAGTATAGAGCAATAAATTTCAGCTCGTTTTAAAGCTTGAAACCTCTATCTTCCAAATGCAACGTTTGTTTTATTCTAAAATGTTTTTAAACCATATAATGAGTGGGTAGATGTAACAACTTTCTTTTTCAAAAATACTATAAATTGTCATGGTACGTGAAAACATTGAAAAATTTTATTCATGATGGATTTAAATATTGAAGCCTCCCCTTTATAATGACTCCGGAAAACTTGATGTATAATCTTTTTGTCGCCATTTTATTGAAGTTCGCGAATCAGATTTAAAATTTCATCGTTTTCGCCTGAAAAATTGGCCTGAACAAAATTGTCGTTGAAAATACCGTTGTACATTCAATTAATATACTGAATGTAATGAAGATTTTCAGATTCAAATATGTTGTAGTTCTCAGTCGTGAAAGAAATTTTTCAACGTTTCTACACACAATTTTCTATGACAATTCGTAACATTTTCGAGTAGAAAAGTGTCTTCACCTTTGCCATGTGTTACAGCAGCGCAAGGAGGAAGCTTGGTTCTAAAACGAACTCGTTTTAACAGTGGAAGTTTTCAGAGTTTAAAACGAGCCAAAGTTTGTTACCGTACGATTCCTTTTTCGAAAAATTACAACAGTTTTTCAGTATCTAGTGTCTTTAAGCGTTCCAATATTCACTGTCTAATGGTTCGAACAAGCTCTTACCTCTACCAACTGGTTTGTTAAGTTTGTCAAGATGCGAAATGCGACCACAGATCGTATCCACAGATCGTAGAAAGAACATTCTCCCCCAAGGTAATTCCCATTCTGGAGATTAAGAATAGGGGCATAAGGCTGCTGTGGATAGTCGCTTCCAATTAAGCTTTTACCAGTATTGGTGGGGTTCCGCTTGAAAAGCTCCATGGGTTCCAAGCCCAACATGGATCTATATCTGTTCGTTCGTTGCACGTACACTTCTCCGTACAAGGACGTCCTTGCCTACGTTCGCTTTAATAGCTTCTCCCCCGGGAATTGTCGAAACATCCGTTACCTAATTCACGTTTAAGAAGACCGATGGCTGAGACAATGTCAAAGGAAATTAAGAAGCGTGTAATAAAGTCGGTGTTTAAACGTGGTGCGCGCTTTGCATTTTACCGAGGGGAACAATCGATTTCAATAGTACGGTCGATTTCATTGGCCGTTCTATCACGTCTATTGAATTAGGCCAGTTGACAAGTCGAGTGCCACGAGAAGCTTGCACATTTTGTCCATTATTCAGACAAAATACTTAGCTTCTGTACGATACTATACTGCAATGAAATACAATGAAAGCGTGTTTTTTCTAGTTACTTGTATCATTTTGAAATTCTTTATCAATGACATTCGTCCCGTTTTAATTATCTTCAATATGTTTATAGAAATAGAAACAATGGTCACCATCGTGAGTCAATCGTGGTGTTAATCGGAATAATTAATACGGCGGAAAAAGATGTTAGCAATTTATATATATATATA